CATATTATAAGAAAAATGATCGAATTGGAGGATAAAAGATAAGTCTATATGCATAAAAATATTCTATTATATAATTTAAAGTGAATATTAAGTTCTATAAATTTGTATGTAAATATAAATATATTTCAAATAATCAAATTCAATAATATCTTAATATTTTATGCAAAGCAATCAGCATTTAAAATAGTAGTATACATTTTAGCCAACTCTTTAGCTAAAACTGTTTTCAATTATTTTTAATAAGAAATTAAAAAAATATAAATAAATAAATATAAAAAAAAAAAATCTTCCACTAAGGTTACAAAAATTAATAATTGCAAGTAATATTTTTTATTTACTATTCGATTAAAGGAACTTTTTGAGTGTATTACATTTGTATTGAATGTACGAATTTGTTCGAAAGTCTAATGCTTTCCATTTTAGTTGAACTGACCCAATTTTCAAATTCTCAGTAATGAGAGATTTTATTTTTTCCCTGCTTTTGTACAAAAGCCACTCGATCGGTTAAGTTTGGAGTAGGGCTCAAAAACGGGGAACACAAAATTTGGTACCATGAAATCTAGACGATTTTCTTCCATCGTCCTTTTTTCCTATAGTGTTATACGTGTTTTTAATGACGAATACAAGGTCGGTGAGAGATGGCCCATTGAAAATCAAGCGTGTGCTGAATCACTAAAAACAAGGTAGTTTCTAGAGAAGAAGGGGGTTGTGGTGTTACTTGTTAAAAAATGTCAACGAGTCTGCAGACACAGGCGCCATTTCCCTTTCGTATTATTTTTTCTGACATAATAACGGCATTTGGTCGTGACGTTTTTTTCCCCTACAGTTTTACAAAATCCTTGCTGTTGGCGTTCCAAGTTTTATATACAGAAAAAAAGGATAAGATAAATCCCACATATCTACTGTATATTTACTATTTTTCCTATAATGTAAATAAAATATAGTAGTCAGTTTCTTCGAGAAATATTGTGACTACATATGTTTATTTAACAAAACAAATTAAAACGAAATAAAAATATTAACCGACTATATACATATTTAGTACGACATTTTAATTACAAAAATTAATAACACATAAATTTTCGACAGTAAATTATATAATTAAATGGTATATATCCGCGCAGTTAAATACTCATGACGTGAATCTAAAATAACATACATTTTTTGTAATAAAATAATATATGTAGTTAATTATCCGTTAAATAAACTACAATAAAAGATACGTTACAGCTATCAATATATTTATAAATATATATAAATGAATTATATCAATATATAACAAATAAGTCAGATTTTTATTCATTCAACCAAAACATTTATAGTAAAATAATTACTCTGCAAAAATTTGGACTCGCATACTTCAGAACATGAATTTATTAGAAACTAATTTGAAGGAAATAATTCATAAAAATTCCATAGGTTCCATAGGCATATATTGGGTAAACCATTGTTAATATAATAAACATAAAATAATTATAAAATTTGTTGCATATAATCGTAATAATACGATAAAATAATGACAAACAAGCAAGAAAAAACACACCAAAAAACTTATCGAAAATGTCCTGTGTGAGTGTTGGCGTGACTTTTTGATAGCGTGCCAAAAACCCACAGGAATACAATAAAACACACGAGCAATAAGAGTGAGAAAAAACGAAAAGGGTTGGAAGGTAAACCCCGAATTTAATGACACCTCCTGTTTCCTCTCTAACCTACATGTATTCGCATTGAGTGTGTGTGATTGTGTATGTATGTGTGTGTGTGATTGTGTATGTATGTGTGTGTGTGTGTGTGTGTGTGTGTGTGTGCGCGCGCGCGCTGGTGTTCACGTGTTCATGTATGTATCTGAGCTCTGACGACGGGTCAATACGGATATTGTCCTTTAACCGACGCCCGTCACGTAAAACAATAAACGATAGCAGAGAATACAGGTGTTGTGACACACTAACCAAAGGCCAAAAAAGAATTTTTCTTGACCTAAGAGGATAGGTCAATTAAAAATATTTACCCAAATTTTGATAAAACCATACAAGAATCTAATTTTTAAAGTTTAAATGTAAAACGCAATATACTTTTGGTTACTGCCATTATGATTTGTATTTTAAATTAACAATTTTAAATATTGTTATGGACTCCGAATGATGCAGAACTCAGTTTTCATCAAAAAGTTGTAGGAATGATTAATAAAATATGGAACAATAATAGTCACCGTCATTATAATATCGAAAATCTAATACTTATAATAGAACGATAATATTCAGAAGGGAAAAAATTAATTAATTCTTTATATCTCTATAGTCTATTTCCTTAAATAAAACTTTTTTATAAAGACAATAACATATATATTTAATAAAATATATTTTTCTAACCACTACATGTTTATTAATTCTAAGTACACCAAATTGATTTCTTTGAAATATGAACTAAATGATAAACAATAGATATATGCGTAGTAAAACTAACTAGAAAAAGTTACGAAGTCCTAGATCCGAGAGACACCATAGTCAGATAAGATACAAGGTTAGGTGAATGATATTGCTGTATTAATTTTTTAAATTTTGAAATCATTGCTCTCGAAAAAAATGATTCAGAATAAAAGAGGTTAGGTGAATCAGTTTATATCAGAGATTGATTAGGGGGAAGGCATGGGGGACAGCCCCCTTCTTTTTTTTTAATTTTTTTTTTTTTTTAGTGTACCCCTTCTATTTATTTGAAACGGATCGCTAGGATCGCAACATTTACTGGAATCTGTAAATGGGACATCTCATTCAGTTATTTAAACCAGATCAATATGTTGAGAACTGGATTAAAAGTGGCAAAAGAAATTCAGTTGAAGTTAACTGTCATAAACGATATTTTTAAAATTAAGATAGTTCATACGAAAATTTATCGACCTTATTTAATTGGTAGTTTAAGTTCGATTTCGTTTTAATTTTTGTAGAATAAAGGTTCTAAAAAAAAAATTAATAATAAATTAATGTTTTTTTCTTTTAAAATATTTTTGCATAGTTAATTTAATAAATTTAATAATTTTTTGGGATTGTGGGTGGCTGAAGGGATAATAATAACATGACAGTAAATTTTGAGTGGAACGCTCGTTCATTGAACATCAGTTAACATTCAGTATTAAATCAGTTTACAAGATTAGTTCCCCGTCTAGGTTTTTTCCAAATCAAGCATTGGTTTATATTTTTAAAGATGATTAATATTATATAAGAACCAAATTTTTAAATATCATGAGATTGGTTGAACTTTAAAAAACATACAAATTTAGGGAAAATCGAAAATTGTAAGTGCCTTTAAACAGCACAGATTTAATTTTAATATTTCTAAACTAATTATTAAAAATTGACTTATCAATTAATGTCAAATAAAGTAAACAAATCTAAAATATTGGTTTATAATTAAAATTTTAATCAATTTTGATGTAAATAATTATATAATTATTGATTGAAGATGTGTCTTTATGTATGCTAACATGAAGTTCGACTTTCTACACTCATTATCAAATATCATAATATTACTAAACTTCTATTCGGCTATGATTGGTTACACGCAAACGAAAGATACCATCGCCTGAATTTTGATATCACGCCACCATATAAACTTTCGAACGGTTAACGACCGAAGTTCACTTAGACATTGCTAGGGCTTTTAACATCCAGCATTAGTCGAATTTGAATCAACCATACACGCCTGGTCGTCTATTTAGTATTATAATTGTAAACTTAATACAATGTGTAGTGCCAGTGTATCATATAACCGATGCTAGATAATGAAATGATACAAATCTAATTAATGAACACTACTGCTATATGTAGGAGATTTATTTAAATATATATATAAATATAATTATATACAAAATATTTGTATTTTATAATAAAATATAAAATAATGAGTAATCAGTATATATATTAAATATTATATTGTACTACTGTATTTCAATTTTTTCATAAACAGCAATGAACAAATTCAAAAATTCAATCAAATCCCCTGGCATGAAAAACTACGCTATTTTACTGTGTTTTTAAAAATATATGTTATTTTCACTAGTATTGGGCATAGAAGAAATATTTAAAAAGCTCAAGATTTTTTTTTTTTTTATATAATTGTGCCATTGAAAGAATTTCGCTCTATTTTACCTTAAAACACATAAATAAAACAAATACATATTATTCACAAGAAATTAAATATATTTTTGCTTAATTATTGTTCACTGCAAAACTTCTATATCTGCTTTCTCTCTATTTTGTAAGTATAACATACATTTTGGGCCCTACATTTTTAAATTCTTATGCCATTTATTTAAACAAACTTCAAAAAATATTCCAATTTAAATTAAAAAGTGTAAGTACCAGATAACTTAACAATCATTACTATATGAAAAACCAATAACCATCGTTTTGCTTTATTGTATCTATATATAAATATATGTATAAGATTTATCTTCAAAAAAACATTGATACCATAAATGAATTCATAACATATATATTATATGTGCTCATATATATTAACGAGGATTCATGGTGAGAAAAAAATAAAAGTATTTATACTTAAAAATACCAATTTGATATTTACCAAAAGAAAGAGGTAAATATCAGGAATGTAAGGAGATATGATGTATTCTTCTGTTTTCTTTATTCTATGGGGATGTGAGTGAATGTGACCAAAAGTGCTTTTAAGAATTTTATACATATATAAATATAAACGTGAATATTATACACTGTATGTATGATGTGTAGGCACGTATATTTTTACATGTCGAGAGCTCAACAAACACACGACATGACCATGATGAAGGGCGATCATAATGGGAAAACTGATCGATATGTCATGCAACGAGTGGCGAAAAAGGAAAAAGTACTGTCTAATGTAACGATGCAAGTACAATACACATTGTACGTTTGGTAATGTACTGCGTCGTAAAAAACTTTTTCCTAGCATTGATTTGTTATATCTTTGATATTAAATATATATATATATATGAAATAAAAACTTACTAATACATAATTGGTGAATTGTGAACCACATACCTGAAAAATAAAAATAAAAATATAATGTAATACTTCGAAAACCTTCAAATTTAAATCTCAAATTAAATTTAGCAACAATAAACAAATATTTCTTTATTAATAATGATACATAAACATGTAACATTTTTTTGGATTACAATTACATATAATTTATATCATTATTATATGAATATTTAAACGTTAATAATATAAGTTATACTAGCATAAATAAAACTCATAGATATTAATCTCATTAAATATGAATAACTTAATAATTTAAATATAATAAACCTATTTCTGTGACATACAGATATATATATTGTTATCTACATTTATATAAATAATCTATTAAGTTATTAAATTCTTTTATTTTAAATTCTAGTTTTATAAGTTGTTATCTTTATTTCATAATATAGGTAATATATAAAATTATTTTCATTACTTAAAAATTGCCAAAATTTCAATTATTTTAAAAATATGGAAAATGCATATTTCAATACATAACGAAAATTTTTTATAAAAATGCTCTTCAAAAACAAAAATACTTTTAAATTACATTTTCAACATCTTATTTTTATTAAATTATATACACAATTAATATAATTAAATAATTTATATATTAAATTAAAACAGCATAAAATAGGTTTAAAATCAAATCAATAAATAAAATTATGTCATTAGTAATTGGGTCAATAAGTTATCAATGAAAAGAAAAAGTTACGTATATGTTATATTCAGAAAACCATTTTCCTTATTGAGTCATAGCCTTGTCTTGTCCTGCCTATGTCATACAGATTTATACAAAATAATTTTTTTTTATTTTGTTCTTAATTACATCGGTTACTTGACTACAAGTTATAATTTAGTATTTTATTTACATATAGATTACAGTTAAGTGAAGTTTTTATTTACATAAGATTATATAATTATAATTCCTTTAAGAAATGTATTATGATAATATTTTATTAGAGGTCAAATTGTAGGGCTTCTCCTATTAAATGAATAATTTGTTTGAATTCAGTGGCGTAGCCAGCGGGAGAGTTAACGGGTTATACCCCCACCCACAAAATGTCTCTTTTAATTTTTAAAATATATAATAATTTTAAAACATAAGTAAAATGTTATATCATGTCATCATTAAACAATTCTTAAATTCTCAATCAACTAAATTTTAACACATTTTATATTTTAACTTATGTTTCATCGACTAATTAAGATTAAAAACTTGATATTTATGTAGGAGAGAATTGAAAATTAAAACCATCTACTCAAAAAAAAAAAAAATGTCTAACTACGCAACTGTTATGATTTCGTGGTTAAGAACACAATTCTCATATATGGGAAAGGGTCATTTCTATGAGTTGTGAATGTACCTATGCCTTAATTCGAGGCGATCTATAACAGTTTCATCTTTCCCGTTAAGTCCAAAATTTTGCTATACGTGGATTTTGTTTTTTTTAATTATATTAAATTTGGTGTTTTATTTTATCCAGTGATTTTATCATTTGAAGTATAGATCCTTTTAAACATATTCCTTTATGTCAACATAGATGATTAGGTTTATGGTTGAGATGTCAGTAGAGGAGGTTACTCTGGATGCTTCTTGGTTAGCTATTTCGTTGCCACTGCGCTCGAGTATCTGTATATAAAATTTATCTATTCCTTTTCGTACTTCATATATTTTTTTCTTGGATTAGTTTGAATATCTCAGTTGGATTTGAGTTGAGTTAAAGATACCTAAGAGGCTACTGAGAGAATCGCTAATTATAAAATAATTGTTATCGATTATTTATTTATATTTGATTGTGTATTTCACTGCCTTGTTTGGCTAAATTTAACCAATACCGTTTTCTATTTCAAATACATTTGTACATGTGTTTGTAATTATAATATTTTTTTAGTGTATTATGTAAAAGATTTCTGTAAATATTTGAACTTGTGTTTTATTTTTTATATTCTGAAATATATATGGTTTATGACGATGTGCATTGTCTACGGGCGAATATTCTGGGATTTTCTTATTACTATTTGTTGTAGGTCTATTTGAAGTTTTTAGGCTTATTTTAAGGTTTTTTGCTTGGTATTTGTTTACTGGATTGTCTATGTTTTTAAGTGTTTTAGCTGCACGAAGGAAAAATTTTTTTATGTTACAGTTAAAGGATTAAATTCCGTTATTTTATGAAATAACTAGGTAGTCCGTGAAATACCAACGAATGTTAGTTAAAGTATGAACTCATACTTGAAAATTATATATAAGTAATGCCTATCCTAAATATTGCTGAACACTATTCGGTTTTATTAATGAGGAGGTATCACCACCACATGATGTGTTTTTTAATAAGGTTTTAGTAAATTTTACTATTACTTAGTATTCAACTAAGTTTAGAATCAAATAACAAGAGTTTAGTTTATAAAATTTAGTTTGGTATAGAATACATTTATTATCTATTTTTAAGAATCTTATTTCTTGATTTCTATCGAGAATATTTATTATTTTTATTTCTTACTAAAAAACGGTTTTATTTGACCAACTTGTTTTCAATCATTTTTTGTAATTCATGTTGCACAGTATTTCAGTATTTATTTTTTGGCTTCTAATTATAATTTTAAAATAAATTATTATACATTTTTTGACTAAAAAGATAAATTTCATCTCTATTAGGAAATTATTGTTAAAAACAACCAACAAAAAATGAACATTTAGTTTTCAAATCATGGTTTCTTTATAATCATTAATATTTAATAATTACTATTGTTGCATTTGCATAATATAACATAATATTTAATAAAAATTAAAAACACAAGCGATCAAAAAAGGTAGAAGTTATTAATAATAAACTACCGTGTATATGAAAATGCGAGATTTTTGTTAATGACATATTTTTTATAGAAACAATATACATTGTTTAAAATAATGAGACAGAATTTTTATTATAATAATTTCATTTAATTTTACATATTATCATTGTAATATCTAGTTTCATTTGAATTTATTTCTATAACATAATAAAACAATCAAAATAATTCTATTGCTTAACTTGAATAAAATATTTAAATCATAATAAAATATAAATATAACTCATATTTTCATTGAGAGAACAGGAAAAAAAATAAAAAAAATTCAGAGGCATTTTAAATAAACTAATTTTTTTTTTTTTTTTTAATTAGAAATAAACAATCTATGCTAGTAAAACACAATAAGTAAACGTGATAACAAAATACAAGTATATAGGTAAGACATAAATTATATGAGAAGAGAGGCCACGCATTGAACCCAACGTGATATTATTTTATTGCGGATTTATTTGAGTAAGTGTGGATGTGTAGATAATTTAGAATAGAATTTGGAGTAGTGATTAAAAGCTAATTGGCTAACTGTTTTAATGTTTAGATTGTTAAGCAGAGTCTCGTTGGATACGTACCAAAGTGAAGAAGTGACAAGTCGAAGGGCTATTGCCTGTATGAAGAGGATTTGAGAGGGTGTAGCACAACCCCAAATCTGAATCGCATGTTTCCAAATGGGGTCTTAAAAGTGATTTATATATAATATTTTTTGTGTGTATAGATAATTTGGATCTGAGTATTGTTCGTAGTAGGTGTAAGCGGCTGTTAAGTTGTTTTTTTTGTTGATTTTAAATGATAAATTAATAATTCAACTATTTAAAAGACTTTTGGCTAATAGTAGAATCATTAAATATGTATTTACTTGTGTGTATATGTGTGTAGTTTGATAAGTGTTTAAATATATATATATATATATATATATAATTTATTTATAAATATATGTTCAGAACGATAAAAAGCTATTGGACAAGAGCAACTTAAAAGACAAATGTACACTCATCGTCAAAGAAGATACAGAGAAAAAATATGCCTCGGTATTCGCTCTCTGATTGTTATAAATGAGAGTACTGGTAGTATTTTATCTCATTTCTCATGTAAAATGGAGAGAGCGCTACTGAAATTTTATCCAGGAACATAGAAGGAAAAAATAACACATCTCTTGTTTTATCTAAGAAACGGTCGAAGTTTTTGTGCGTGTCATACAAAAACCCACTATGACAAAATTTGTAAAACACTTTTGGTATTATAATTATTTCTTTTTTGTAAAGACTTACACGAAGAATTGCTTTACTGACAAGTACCATTATACATAATTTTGTACTGCTTTTATTTTTGACTTTTAGATAAGCTCGTGTTCTCAGTTATAGTAACCAAATTCTATGAAATATTTCTGTAAATAACAATTCAGACTTGGCAATCTAGTTAAATAATAATATTTTTTTTTTTTCCTGTGGATACGTGAAAAAATTAGAATGTATTGTTTTTTTTCCGGCCATATAGTATACTTCTCCTACTCAGACAACAATTAACATGTATATTTTATTCTAGAAACCACGCCCATTTTCAGTAACATAACCTAGAACAAGAATTATTTACATATATAGCATTGCTTTGTTAACGATAGCACTAATTACAGTCTGTTTAATTAAAAAAAACTAAATTCACATAAAAACAAACGTGATATGTAAATATTTTTAAAAATAACTAGACCCGTAATGACATGATTTGAACAATAAATTAATACAGTCGGCGTTACAATTATGAATATTAGAATATTCGATTTATAAATTAAAATGCTGATGGTTCAATACCAATCATATCGTAACTATATTTTCTAGTCAGTGTCAATAATGGTAAATTTCTATATAATAAAACACCCAAATGTAATTTTTTAATATCGATGGAAATTAAATAAAATATTAGAAAACATTAAGTAATTAAATCGCGATAAAACTTTAAAACTAATCGTACAATACTTTGTATTACTATATTCATTGTTTATTCATTCTATTAAAATGTATTCCATTCTTAAATTTGATAGCACATCATATGAATACTTTAAATATGTATTTAATCACATATTCTGATGTATAAGGCATTGAGTCACGATTTGTATAAAATGACTTCAGTTTTATCGAGAAACCTTATAGTCGTAGTGATTCGAAAACATAGACAAG